GCTTGACCGATCATTTTTCGTCGATCGGCCGCCACTAGCCCGATCGTATCGATGGACCATCCTTTTTTGATTGGCCATACACTACGACTCAATCTACCCTTTCGGTCAATTCGACCGATCGACTGCCACCGCCCCAATCAATTGATTAATCATTTTCATTTGGTATGTTGCATATGTTGCATGCTATGCACATCACATGCATTAGCACACCCACACTTGCACATTGTTGTGCAATTGCGAGCATACACCCTCATATGCTCGTGCCTAGTATTCGTGCCTAGTATTCATGCCTCCTACAAGTGGTTTGCACTTACACTCTCCACTTTTACATGCTTGCTTGCACAACATCCTGTATGTTCATAACTGACATGCTTGAAGTAGTCTGCATTTGGTCTTCTGTCTTCACACACCTACCTAACACATTCACACATCATATGAGTGGATGAATTACCACAAAGTCCATCCAGTGTGTAGTTCTCTCCCACGGGAATTACATTACTTTCATTCCTACGACACCGCTTCCAACTGTTATAGGCATCTTCTTGAGTCACTGCTCCTCGCACACTCTCTCACTTCCTACGACACCACTTCGAACTGTCGTAAGCACTTCCTTGAGTCACAACTCCTCACACACTGATATTTTCAAGTCACTGCTCATCGCAAACTCACTTTTGACACTCATGTGTCTTCCCCGAGTCACCGTTCCTGCATACTCATTATGGGCACTCACGTGTCTTCTTCGGGGATGGCTTGCATATCAAGTTTATTTGGCGTGAAATTCTCCTCAGTGAGAAGTACACCACCTCAGTCTCGTTGTGTGTCTTGCATGCGCAATATCTCTTTTCCTATGACAATAGTTACATTTACAATTACATTTCAAAGGCCTTTGAATCCTTCAAGTATGTGATGTGCATTCACTTGGGTACATGGCTACCACCTAGCATGGATCATGCCCCAAAGGTCTTTAAATCCATTCATTGTGCATGTTATATCGCTAATGGCTCTACCTTGGTTTGTCATATGTGTATCATATGTCCTGAGTAATGCATTTGCATTTTTGCACTAGCGGCTCATTCGTCATGGGTATATGTCACCATATAATTATGACGAACATTTGTTATCTCGTGATCACTCCTACTTCGACCGAGTGGTCACAACGCACTGGATCAATTTGCATCGGCATGCGCATCCCCAATTGTCTCAACGACAAAACTGGCTCCTGAGCTGAGTGACACTGTGCTGGTCATGACTCGACAACTAGTATTGCCCGCGAGAATGTCTCGATTAGCAATAATAGTTATCACACCGTG